TTGTTTGTTTGTGAATAAAATGAAAGTAGATTTGGAGCTCATAAAACCGGCTCGTGTCATCAAGCCAAGCGGCACCAACCCTGAATTTCACTGAATTTTAGACACTATAGACGGCGGCCTGTAAGCCGAGACGATTTGACAGGATTGAACATCGACGAACTGGCATGGACGAAGAAGAGCCCATAGCATCCGAGGCCTTCTTGGCACCGCCAGGAAGAGAGTGGAATGCTTTCGAGTTGACGACTTGGAAACAGGATTCACACACACGCACGCACACAAACATACATACAAACAGGACACATACACACACAGACATTGAGGATGGCAGTGGTGCGATGGGAGTAGAATGATTGTGACCTGGGGACGCGAGAGGGATGGTTGTGCATGCTTGTCTGTCGAGAAGTCAACGTCTTTGAGTCCGTGTAAGGCTGGCAACAAAAAACGGTAAGAAGAAGGAAGGGGTGACTCTACTGGGCATTTGGAAAGGACGAGAGATGGTTGGAAGGAATTCTCACCTCGACTGAGGGGACAGGTCGGAGGCGCCTTTGACGCAAGAGTGGTTTGATGCTGCTAAAGTCGGGGAGAGCAAGGCCAAAATGGGCAAAGAGGAGGATGAGGAGGAGCAAAAAGGATGCCTTCTCAGAGCATTGGGCAAATCGCCTCCTGCCGGCTGCCCCGAGGACTCGAGGCGGGTTGGGGAACAGGGACAAGTAAGTGTTGTGCGGCATAAAAACAGGGCAATACAGTATTGAGTTCCGCGTCTTCGTGGTGCTCTTCTTTTGGATAGTGGAAGGCATGGAGGCTGCAGACAAGTGAAGCGTTTTAAGGGACTCGGAGCTATTCAACTGATGTAGACTGCCAATGAGGAAGGAGGGGGCGAGGGGGAAAGGCGACGAAAAAGGTGTCGTCACAGCCGTTGCCGAGGCTTTTGGCAGTAGAAATGGGCATGGAAATGAAAATGCTCGTTTTCAGAGACATTTTTCTGGATCATCATGTACAGGTAACCTCGGCCTGCAACCGAGCCCTTGGCGCACAATAAGTCGCGCTATATGCATTTGTCTGTCTGTGTGTGTGTGTACGTGTAGCATTCTCTTCTGTTGTGGCACTCCGGAATGGGTCTGAGGAAAAAGTAAGTTGGCCGCTGACCGACTAGCCAGAGGGTTGTGATGGAGAGGATCAATTCCGTCTGCCCAGGCGTGCCAGATTTCGAGTTCCGCCGGCCGGATTGAAGGGGACCAGGCAGAAGAGCCAGTCAGAGGCGAGTAAGGGGAAGTCGCCGGGTGGGTTGGTGATGACGAAACGCTTCTGCCGGCCTGCCCAGTTGCCGGGGTCACCGTCGCCGGTTGCCACGTCTGCGGCGAAGTGCAGCAGTCGGTAGAGGCCGATTGAGAGAATGCCGTGCGTCTTGAGCGCCTCGACGAAGAGGCGTCGGTAGGGCGCATCGTCGGTGCAGACCCTGGCCAGTGGGGTTTCGGCCAGCCTCAGCTGGGCCAAATGGCAACGGCCTCGGTTCTTGGCCAGTTCGCCGGCCGATCCTCCGCCTCGCATGCCCGAGCCCTCGGCCAAAATACGCTCCAACTCGGGTGTCGCCCCACCCGTCACCATGGTACGAATGAGGGTGAGCGCGTTCTCGTTGAAAAAAGTGGTGCTCATCAGAGAGTCTAGCACACTGACCGTGAAGGTGGAACCACAGGCGAATGGCTGCGTCATGAAGAGTGCGGTGTCGTCGTCGTCGTCGTCTTCTTGGTCGAGAAATTGCACGTTACTGTCGAACTCCAGCTCCGTCGAGATGGGGATTGCCTGCCCAGAGACGGCGCCCAGTCGCACCCTCGGCCTCCACAAGTCAAGCAGCCAGTCGGCATCTCGGCCGGTACCGGCGCCATCATTGCTAACGTCGCCGCCGATGCTGGCATCGTAGATACCACGTCCCAGGCCGGATGGAAGCGTGGCAGCGTTGCGTTCCATTTGCAGTTGATGCATTTGACTGAGATGTTGTTGTTGAATCGACGGCTCAATGATCTGGACGCGCACCTCTTCGACAACCTCACCGTTTCTGGCGACCCAATCGTCATCGGCGTCGGCGTACACGTCGGCGTTGACGTTGCCGTTGCCGTTGCCATCGGCGTCGGCGTCGGCGTCAGCGTCGGCGTCGATTGAGGTGGTGGGTCTGGC